TTATATTATGATATTATGATAGTATGATATTTTGATAGTATGATATTTTGATATTATTGTTATTATTGCACGTCGTTGTTCTTCTTCTTTTGTTTGAAATAAAATATGGATGACGGATAGAGAAATTATAGAAAATGAAAACTTGTTTTTTATTTTATAATTATTATTATTCACAGTTATTTCGCTTTCTTGCGTATTTTTGACAAAAAAAAAAAAAAAAGAAAATTAATAACAAAAAAATGTTTTTTTTTCAAAACAAAAAAATTATTTATGTATATATGTATTATATACGATTATTGATGATGATAATCATGAGAAGGGAGAGAAAAAGGAAAGATAATTTTGTGTGGTTGTGGTGGCCGAGCGAAACGTTAAAGATCATTAAAATTAATTAATTGATTGATTAATTAATTGTAAAAAAAAAAAATTTTAAATGAACAAAAACCAAAACGTGAAAATTTAGATATTTATATCATTGTGTATATTTATTATATTATTTATTATTAGAAATTTGTATATGAATGGAGTCATTAAAAAAGGGAGCGTGATTAAACAAACAGCAAATTTTAGGGGACGAAAAACAAAGTTCAAATTATTTATATGTGTTAGATAATGCATATATATATATATAACATATACATATTTATATTATGTTAATGTTGATTGGTTGGTATATATATATATATAAGTAAAATCTCCTTTTTCAATATTGAACTGTATATATTTAAAAATTAAATTAATTGACCAATTACATAACTCTACAGTTTATCAACAAATCAATAACTTTTATCTCTTAATCGATATATCAAACCACAGCCAGACAAAGATAATAAATGGTATTTCTTTCTTCGCTAAAAAAAATTAAAAATCCATTTCTTCCATTTTTTTTTTAAGACTTCTACAGGTTTGCTTTGACCACGTGCCAACAAGTTATGCCCATATTTGTCTACACACATAATCACATTTATACATATAATGCATTCTTTTGTTTTTGACATTGTGGAAATCTTGTACGAGTGAGAAAGTAACTGTGTATTTTAATTGGCTAAACTTAAAAATTTTTTTTATTTTTTCGAATATTAATATTTCTTTTTCGCGTTTTTTTTTGTAGTATTTTAGAAATATCAACTTCTTGGATTTGTAATTCAATCTTTTGTTCATTCAAGAAAAAAGAAAAAAAGAAAAGAGGCTTTGATTTATTTGGTTATTTGTTATTTGATCATTATTAATTCATGTATCCATGTGACTACATTTTTATGCAAAATACAATAATATGCATTAATTAATAATATATACATGATATGTTTGATTCCATTAAAAAGTGTCTACTATAAAGGATTATTTGGTTTCAATCAATTAATTTATACAATATAATAACTAACAATAACTAACTGGCCGACTAATTGATAATTAGATAGACGAATTTTTAGGGTTTTTTCTTATCAAATGATCACAAGGTCTTTAAAGTTCCTAAATATTCCGAAAAATTAATTTCTTATCGCATGTTTTTTTTTAAGAGTATTTATTATATTAATAAAATAATAATATCGGAACAAAGTGAACAGAAACAACCTAAACTCCAAAAGAATGTTATTAACTCAAAATCATGATTTTATATGTACTTCGTCATGAGGATTAATTGCATCAAGTGTGGATATGGTTTCTAACCCAAGATATTTATTTAAAACGTGTAATCTTTACTGATGATTTCCGAGTTTTTGGATCGTGACCAACCAGTTTATTATTAGTCGAAATTATATATGAAACTAGAATAGCAATTCGATTGCCTTTTTTGGGTTATACAAAAGGATCGACGAAACTGTTGAAAATCATGGTTATTAAATATGAATCAATGAGCATCTTGTTTCATAGCAATTGTGCAAATAGAAAAAATTCAATGTTATTAACATCTATATTTTTCTTTTCTTTGCCTTTATTGGTTCTACTTTGGGGGGATGTACAGATTATTTGTTTCTGAAACAATCCTCTGGTTCATAGACGGATCATCAATTAAAATGCAAAATAGAATCGTCGGTAGAGTTCGTAATAGGCAGGTTGAATAGGTTGTCTAATAATATTGTTATACTATTGTGGAATAGTTTTCTTCCCTAGACAATAATTAGCGTCTTAATAGTTGCAGTGTAATTTATCAATATGATTTAATTAATGGTTTATTATATGTTTATCATCAAAAACGAAATGTTGGACTGAAGAATAAATTCGTATATATATACACACACATATATATATATATATATATATATGTAATTTTATTATTTATTTTTATTCGATGTTCTTTACTGATTATTTTAAAAATGATTGGATTGATATACAATATATCATACCGATATACCAAAAATCATTCTAGAAACATGAGATATATGGCATAATAAATCTCGGAAAGATCTGTAATTTAAACCCCCCTTTTTGCTGATACACGTATTAAATTTACTAAATATGGTAATGATTTCTTTTTATAATAAATAAAAACCAATTGATAGGGGACCCATTGGCATTTGATCAATCCTAATGAAGTAATCTGTTAGATACCATTCTTGATAGATTTTTGTCTAAAAACGCTAGTAATTCTAATTTCTCTTTGCTTTCTTGCTTGTCGCATCACCTTATATGGGTGAAACAGACTATAAAGGATAGATCACTACCGTAGTCGAGTCAATTCTCATATATACTAAAAGACCTAAAAGATTTTCCCAAATCGCAGTGTGGAGTTAAGCTTTTTATTATATCAAATCATGATTTTTTCATTATAGTAAATGTTGATCTCATCGAATAAACTAATTCAAATTTGACCCAAAAATCGGTTATCCGAGTTTTTGGATTTAATCTTTACTTGATTTGGCAAGTCCAACATTTATTATTACTATATATAAATAAAGGGGATATTTAAATTTGAGTTTTTAATGTGAAAATAAAAAATTGGGGATATTAATATGTTTAATATTGTGTAACATAAGTTAATCTCAAATGATCTATATTGTTATTATTGGCACCAAATGATCATTTTTTAATGGAAATAACAATAAATAATTCTGCTCAACAAAAAATAAAAATCTAGTCATGGCAGAATGCCTGACACAGTGACAATTGATTCTAATTTAAAAACATTTAAATAACGTCATGAAAATTCCACCAGGAACATCATATGGTCAAACTAAGCTAAATAAATTATAAGGATAATTAATTAATTTTTTTGTGTGTTTAATTCGTGCTTCGCCGATCATGTGTAGAAATCTATTACCATTGCTATTATTATTATAAAATTGCACAGATAATCAACATTGTAAAATCGATGAAAACCTGTTCAATGGACACGTATTACACTGCGTCGCCAGATTCCATGGATAAAATTTGTTTTTATTTGTACTAAACATATTTTAATTATAGGGAGGAACGAGATAAGAAAAATTTGTAAATAACTTATCTCTGTTCGAAACACGAGTTAAGTGTTATTTTTGTTATTATTATGTAATAGATTTTTACATAATAAAATATTTTTGGTGATATTAATTTTTTATAAAATACATTTTATCAAATTTATTGTATAGTTTATTTACCCCTAAGAAGACGAATAAATATTTTTGCAATAATAAATATCAAAATAATTGTTACAATTATGTTGTCACTGGTTGATTTTGGGGGATCAAATTGATAACGGTACAAATAATAGACTATAAGGATCAAATTGATCAGGGAAAATAGTTTTGAGCGTGATTTGATTATCAAGTCGAAGCTTTCTTTCATTCAAGAAAAAGCTATTCTCAAAGTATATTGAATTCGAGTTGTTTATACACATGTTTTATAATTGAACGTCTACTTTATCAACTTTGACGATTTTGTTGACCAAGTCTACCGTCGTAATTTGTCGATTTGGCCGATTGGTTGTCTTAATCAACTTTATCAACCCTACGTAGTACTACCTAAGTAACTAATACATTTTTAAATAAATAATAATTGAGAATATCGCACGGATCTTCCATAATTTATATCCATACAAAAAAGCCATTTCAACTAGTCAATTTGAGAAGTTGATATTTCCTCAACAAAGTCTCAATTACTATAAAAATTTAAGTTCTATTTGTTATGAGTCAAAATCAATAATTAAAAATTTTTAGTGGGGTATTTTGGTTACAACATTCTAATTGGCTAATGTGCATGAATTTACAGCTACAGATTTCAAATTGCA